TTTTTGGGGCACAACTCTGCGTTTTTCGCGGGGGAAGAGCAAATCCGAAGCCGCTCGACCTGCAGGGAAACCGCCACGCCAGCGGGCGCGGAACTTCCATCCGAGAGCGACAAAAATCATGGAAGAACTGAACTAAAGGAACCGCGATGAGCTCGATGTGACTCCCGAGAGCTCCAAACGCCGCCGGGCCACCTCAGCTCGCCCTCGTGGAGCCGAGCCCGCGGCTCCTCATCCTCCTCAGGCGCGTTTGGCGTGAGGCGGCGCCGAGCYCTCACCTCGCAGATTTCTCAGCAGCAATTTCAGTTTCTGCGGCTCCGCCATCCTCCGGCGCAGGAAATCGGAGCGGGGGTGGCCCTGGGCACAGTGGTCGCTCTGCAGGAGCTGGAACACGTTGGCCATGTTGGGACCCAGTTTGGCCATCAGGATGGTCTTGATGGTGCTCACCGTGGCCTCGTCGCACTCCAGCAGGCTCCGCACCAGTTTGTTGTAATATCTGTGGGACGGGGATACACGGTTAGCTCGGAATATTCCTGAGGAATTCTCCTCCACAGGGCCCAGAATATCCCTGAGGAATTTTCCTCCACAGGAATGTCCTTGAGCAATTTTCCTCCACAGGGCCTGGAATGTCCTCGAGGAATTTTCCTCCACAGGGCCCAAAATATCCCTGAGGAATTCTCCTCCACAGGAATATCCCTGAGGAATTTTCCTCCACGGGGCCTGGAATATGCCTAAAGAATTCTCCTTCACAGGGCCCAGAATATCCCCAAGGAATTCTCCTCCACAGGAATACCCCCAAGGAATTCTCCTCCACAGGACCCGGAATATCCCCAAGGAATTTTCCTCCACAGGAATGTCCCTGAGGAATTCTCCTCCACAGGAATATCCTCAAGGAATTCTCCTCCACAGGAATGTCCTCGAGGAATTTTCCTCCTCAGGGCCTGGAATATCCCTGAGGAGTTTTCCTCCATAAGGCCCGGAATATCCCCAAGGAATTTTCCTACAAAAAGCTCCAAATGTCCCCGAGGAATTTTCCTCCACAGGGCCTGGAATATCCCCAAGGAATTTTCCTCCACAAGACCCGGAATATCCCTGAGGAATTCTCCTCCACAGGAATGTCCCTGAGCAATTTTCCTCCACAGGGTCTGGAATAACCCCGAGGAATTCTCCTCCACAAGACCCGGAATATCCCTGAGGAATTCTCCTCCAAAGGGCCCACAATATCCCCGAGGAATTCTCCTCCACAGGAATGTCCCCGAGGAATTCTCCTCCTCAGGGCCTGGAATATCCCTGAGGAGTTTTCCTCCATAAGGCCCAGAATATCCCTGAGGAATTTTCCTCCAAAAAGCTCCAAATGTCCCTGAGGAATTTTCCTCCCCAGGGCCTGGAATATCCCCGAGAATGGAATATCCTCAAGAACCTTCCTCCACAGGGCCCAGAATATCCCCAAGGAATTTTCCTCCACAAGGCCTGGAATATCCCCAAGGAATTCTCCTCCGCAAGAATATCCCCAAGGAATTTTCCTCCACGGGAATATCCCCAAGGAATTTTCCTCCACAAGAATATCCCCAAGGAATTTTCCTCCCCAGGGTCCAGCTCAGCCCCGAGAGCACGGCCAGCGCCAGGGAACATCATCCCGAGGAGAGAAATTTGGGAAAAACAGGAGCAGCCCCACATTTCCTGGGTTTTCTGCCCAAGAGAACACTGGGGAGTTTATTTGAAGCGCTTTAAGGTCACGGTGACATTTTTCCGCTGGAGCAGAGAGGAGAATGACCTGCAGTGGAGGAGGGGAAGGAAGAGGGAAATGAGAGCTCCCATTGAAAACCCTTTCCCAGCTCACGGGGGTCAGGTGAGGTCACTGTGCTGCACAAAGGGCAGGGCTGGGCTGGGGATGAGCCTGGCTTAGAGAGGCTGGGCTGGGGATGAGCCCGGCTTAGAGGGGCTGGAGAGAGGGATGGGCTGGGGATAGGCAGGGCAGAGTCAGATCTGAGCCCAGGGTAGAGCCAGACCTAAGCCCAGCACAGAGCCAGACCTGAACCGTGGGCAGATCCATCCATTCCCCAGGGCAGAGCCAGATCTGAACCCAGGACCCACAAGGCCCCATCCAGTCCTGGAGGCAGAACCAAACTCCATCCAGCCCTCAGGACAGAGCCAGATCCCATCCATTCTCCAGGGCAGAGTTAGATCTGAGCCCAGGNGTTAGCTCGGAATATTCCTGAGGAATTCTCCTACCCAGGAATATCCCTGAGGAATTTTCCTACCCAGGAATATCCCTAAGGAATTTTCCTCCACAGGAATGTCCCCGAGGAATTCTTCTCCACAGGGCCCAGAATATCCCTGAGGAATTTTCCCCCAAAGAGCCCAGAATATCCCTGAGGAATTCTCCTCCACAGGAATGTCCCTGAGCAATTTTCCTCCACAGGGCCTGGAATATCCCCGAGGAATTCTCCTCCACAAGACCCGGAATATCCCTGAGGAATTTTCCTCCACAGGGCCCAGGGACATTTTCCTCCACAGGGCCCAGAATATCCTTGAGGAATTCTCCACAAGGCTTGGAATATCCCCGAGGAATTCTCCATAGGGCCCGGAATATCCCCAAGGAATTTTCCTCCACAGGGCGTGGAATGTCCTCGAGGAATTTTCCTCCACAAGGCCCGGAATATCCCTGAGGAATTCTCCTCCACAGGAATGTCTCTGAGCAATTTTCCTCCACAGGACCTGGAATGTCCTCGAGGAATTCTCTCCACAGGGCCCAGAATATCCCTGAGGAATTTTCTTCCACAGGGCCCAGAATATCCCCGAGGAATTCTCCTCCTCAGGGCCTGGAATATCCCTGACGAGTTTTCCTCCATAAGGCCCGGAATATCCCCAAGGAATTTTCCTACAAAAAGCTCCAAATGTCCCCGAGGAATTTTCCTCCACAGGGCCCGGAATATCTCCAAGAAATTTTCCTCCACAGGGCCCAGAATGTCCCCAAGGAATTTTCCTCCACAGGAATATCCCTGAGGAATTCTCCTTCACAGGGCCTGGAATATCCCCAAGGAATTTTCCTCCAAAAGGCTCCGAATATCCCCGAGGAATTTTCCTCCACAGGAATGTCCCTGAGGAATTTTCCTACCCAGGAATATCCTCAAGGAATTCTCCTCCACAGGAATATCCCCGAGGAACTTTCCTTCTCAGGGCCTGGAATATCCCTGAGGAGTTTTCCTCCAAAAAGCTCCGAATGTCCCTGAGGAATTTTCCTCCACAGAGCCCACAATGTCCCTGAGGATGGAATATCCTCAAGAATTTTCCTCCATAAGGCCCGAAATATCTCCAATGAATTTTCCTCCACAAGGCCCAGAATGTCCCCAAGGAATTTTCCTCCACAGGAATATCCCCAAGGAATTCTCCTCCCCAGGGCCCAGCTCAGCCCCGGGAGCACGGCCGGCACCAGGGAACATCATCCCGGGGACAGAAATTTGGGAAAAACAGGAGCAGCCCCACATTTCCTGGGTTTTCTG